CCAGCTCCACACTGTGTTCCCCCAGCTCCACACTGTGTTCCCCCAGCTCCACACTGTGTTATCTCAGACTCCAGCATCGGCAGTTCTTACTATCTCTGAGTGAACCAGATGGGATTTTCCCGACCATCAGCAATGGATTCATGGTTATCATTAGACTCTTAATTCCAGATATTTTATTAAATTCAAATTCCAAAATCTGCCATGGCGGTATTCAAATCTGGGTCGCCAGAACATTATCTGGGTCTCTGGATTAACAGTCCAGCAATATCCTACTTAAATCTACTTGGTGCTTCCTGTCCAATCCTGAGTCAATGTTAATATATTATCTGACCCCATGAGCCCTTATCTTGTGTATTAGTTTTTTTGTGTAGCATTTTATCAATGAATTTTTGGCAATTCAAGTACATTGCATCTACAGGATCCCCTTTATTAACCATACTAATTACATCCTCAAAAATGCTAATACAATTGTCAAATGCAGTTTCTCTTTTGCAAAACCACTCTCTTCAGAGGATCGGTGTGCACTGGTGAGCTGAATGGCCTGCCCCCACACTATAGGGATTCTATTTTTAAAAATCTGTTTCATGCTCCTGCCATTTCTTCTTTTCAGTTGTTGCTTTTTTTTTAAATCGTCATTTTGCTCGTTCTTTGCTGGTTTCTAAAAACCTCCTCGTTCTCTGCTTTGCTTCCATTCTTTGCAACATTATAAAATTCCTCTTTTCACCAAAAACTATTCTTAATTTCCTTAGTAAACCACAGCTCCCTCTTGCTGACCTTTTGGTTTTTAATGGAATTTGGGTTAATTGACCATTTTGAATTGTTTCTTTAAACGTTTTGGACTATTTATTTACATCATACCTTCAGTCTATTTACTCAGTCAACCTTAACGAGGTCTGTCTTTATACCTACATAATTTGCTTTGTTTCAGGCTAAGCTTCTTAATTGAGACAAATGGCTTTATTTGGAATTCAGTTTCATTTTCAATTTTCAAAGCAGACCTTTTGCTATTGAATTATTCATTAATCCTGCCCCATTCCACAATACTAAATTTAAAATAATGTTATTTCTACTTGGTCCTCCCTTTGAGATCCGAGGGCACCCAGAAGATGCTAACATTGGCAACCATAACCATTGCAGTGACTTGTTTTTCCTTTCAACTTCTGGGCAAAAAGAGATGTTGTTGCTACAATGGGCTAAGTTACTGCTGAGGCCAATCAATTACACACAATGCGATTGTGGATGTGAAGAGTTTTATTTTCCTTCACTTAATTATTTCTAGGGATTCCTGAAAAATCTGTTCGTGACTCCAGCATGATGCTGACTGAATTCAGCTCCATCTGTCCACCATTTTACTTGATTCATCCACTGAATCTTGATTTCCAGACTGTTTGTTTGCAAGCCACTAATTTCCTTTGTTTAAACATTGGGAAGACCGAAGCCATCTTAGAACCATAAAAATGATACAGCAAAGAAGGGAGTCATTTGCCCCATCTTGTCCATGCCGCCCCAAAGACACCCAGAAACCATTTTTAATCTCATCTTCCTGCACATGACCCATAGCCCTGTGGCTTATAGCACTTGAGGTGCAGATCCAGGTACTTTTTAAGAGAGTTTAGAATCTCTGCCTCCACCATAATTTCAGGCAGCGAAATCCACACACCCACCACCCCCTGTGTTTTTTAAAAAAAAATTCCTACAGCCTCTACAGCTTCACCACGAATTCCAAACACTTAGTACCAATTCAAATCCCATCTGCACGATTGAATCAAATTGTTCATAATTTAACCTTGAGCTGAACTTCAAGCTCAATATCCTGTCCATCACAAAGCACTCTTTGTTGTTCACCAGGAGCATCACCCTCCTCCATTCCTGCTCCAGTTATGTGCATTTGTGCCTTTTGTCCACCACATCTCCAATTTAAAATTTTCACCCTTGTGTTAAATCCCATCATTGCCTTCGTGAAAGGTAAACTTTTTGCAGCCCTATAACCTTACAAAACTCAGTGGTTCTCTGATTTGGGCTTTTTGTGCATTCGCTTTGCCCAAATCATTGCAGTGATGCCTTCAGCTGTTTTGGTCACTGCTTAGGAAATGTCTCTGTAATCTCGTCTATATTTCCATCTGTCTCTCCTCGTTTAAGGCCTGTGGTAAAATCCATATCTTTGAATCTGTTTGTTGTTACTCTTACCGAATGTACCCTTTGGCTCAGTAGTTATTTTGTCTCATTAGATCTCTGTGCACTTTGGGCTGATCATTAAGTCAAAACTTCTATAGAATTTAATATTTTTAATAGAATGCCTAACTGTTCTATTTAATTTGTATTTTTAAATTCGATGTCACTTCACTTTTATATTTAATGGCCCTTTGTATGAAAATTATTTGGTTTTTTTAAGGCATTGCTGACTTGCATTCTATTTATCAGACATATTTAAATATTACCATTTGTAGTGAATTTCCTCATGCTGTTTTTTTTTCTAAATAGCTCCAGGAAAATTTAGTTTAGGTCTTAATCTGACTTAGGTCAGTGTAAAAGCTTTCCTCTTCAAATTTATTTAATATCCTTTCATGATTCTACTAAAAGTTGGTCTGTGTAAAGCAAAATGCTTCTTACAAATGAATAACAATAAATTTAATCTGTCATTTTAAGCTTTCTTTTCCAATAGTTTTACGTAGCTTTATAAACCACCATAGTTTTGTGTAGGACATTGTTTTTAAAAAACTTAAATTTCTACAGTTTCTATTCTGTTTTTCTAACCGTATTTTATCATAGGAAATATTGGGAAATAAACTAAAATACTAATTTTACAAATTAGAAACAGACTATTTTTTAGATCAGGTCCACCAGCACATGGAAAATAAAATATGTAAAGATGAATTTACATTAAATATATCGAAGTTAGAGCTGTAAATGGCTCCTGAGCAAAGTCACATTAAATCAAACTATGCTATTCAAAGTAAAATTTCTACATCTCAAATATGTCTGTAGATCCACTCATTTTTCCCCTGGTTCAGTCATGGCCCATTCTGAAGAAGGGTCACATGATTTGAAATGGTAACGTTATTTTCTCTCCCCATTTGCTGCCAGACCTGAGTTCCTTTAGTAATCCTGCTTTTTTTTGTATGATCCATTGCTGCTTTTTTAGTTGGTGTCCATATTTTGGTAATTGCTGCTATTAATGTACAATGCTAGGCGATAGTCATGTGAGTCCTCTGCCTTCTTCAGTATCTTATCCGTATTAACATTATTCATTTGTGAGAGTTGGCAGTGTGTGAGTCAGCAAATTACCACTATAAGGCATCATAGCTGAGCATTATACTGTTCTACCTCAGTGCCCATGCATGCACTTCAAGCAGGGCTCATGAGATAACAGTCTAGAAGATCAATTTCTCTTTCCTAGCTCTTGTGTATTGAAGCCAATTGACACTGAAGAGAATGGGAGTAATATGAATTTTAAGTGGTTTTCTTACTAGTAAGGTTTCTTGCTGTTGGATGCTTTATTACCTTACATAAGGCTGCACTTATTTTTATTCATTGTTTTAGTCGTGACACTAATTGTTTTTCTGAAAGGCTTTTGACCTTATTGATCATTTGAACTGTTCATGAGAGGATTCCAGCAGTGTTTTGTGGTGAGTTCAAGTATACAACGTAGCATAGGATATTGGATACTGCATTTTACAGTGTTAAAATTAGAATTATGAAGGTCAAATTACTTTCATAAATAGTTGAAATTTATTTTTTTAACTGGCAGACAATGTATTTCAAGGGCATTGATGCAGGAAAATGTCCGTATGTTGCGCATGCAGACACCGTCATCTATGCGATTTCCACAGCCATATGCTTTCAAGCTGTAAGTACCAAATGATGGGACAGATTTTAACACATTATTCGTAAGAAGCTCATCTCTCAGAATTTCAAATCAGGAGAATTTTGCATTAATTAGAGTCTCTGATTACTGTATCATATAAAATGTTTCTCTATTTGGTATAAATCAAAGATTTAAACAATATTTCAAATAAGGCTTTGAAAATCTGCTGTTTGTACATGTGTCCACTTAAGTTAATTGTTAATGATCAATTCAACTGAAATTAATAGTAAGAATTTCTGTCTACTATCTATGTGTGGAGTTTATACATTCTCCTTGTGTCTGTGGATTTCCTCTGAGTGCTGCAGTTTCTCCCCACAGTCCAAAGATGTGCAAGTTAGGTAGATTGGCCATGCTGAATTTCCTGTAGTGCTCAGGGATGTGCAGACTAGGTGGATTAGCCACAGGAAATGCAGGGTTACAGGGATAGATTAGGGGGGTGGGAGGCTGTTCGGAGGGTTGGTGTGAAATCATTAGGCCAAATAGCCTGCTTCCAACACTTGGGATTCTATGATTATACGAAAGAAATTTGATTACAAATCTATTCTTTACCTATGACACTCAGTTTGAAATCTAGCCAGGACTGAGGTCTGCTGGCTATAATGATCTTGCATGAAATAAACCCAGTAGACTTGGGTAGACTGAAAATGGTATTGATTGGAAATAAATAGGTAATTATTTAGAGGTAGTAGGAGCTGCAGATGCTGGAGAATCTGAGATAACAAGGTGTGGAGGTGGATGAACACAGCAGGCCAAGCAGCATCAGAGGAGCAGGAAAGCTGACGTTTCTTCAGAAGGGTCTAGGCCCAAAACATCAGCTTTCCTGCTCCTCTGATGCTGCTTGGCCTGCAGTGTTCATCCAGCTCCACACCTTGTTATCTCAATTATTTAGAGGTAGTGACTATAGGGGTGCACAGTTGAGAAATGGAGGATGACACACTGGTCAGAATTTGGGATCAAGTATGGAAGAATCAGGCAGGTGTGAAAACCTGTGCCATTGGCAGGCATGCAACAAGCAAATAATGGGCATTAATCATTTCTTGTCAGAAATTGAATGGAAACAGCAAATAGCTAATTTAGTCCACGTAGGACGTGTTATGGCTACAGGATTTGCTTTCAAGGAGTGGGTTTAAACCAAAATGCCCTTACTAGTTTAACCAAAATTATAACTCCAAGTTAAGCACCCATTACCAGCAATCCAGATACCAGCCCCAATCCACGTTGGGGTAGACAAGACAGTGGAATAATATAGTGGAAAAGATCAGTTCATAACTTGAAATTGGTTCTGCAGTACATAACCTAGTAACTGCTTCAACAGATTAGGAAATTTATAAATTCCAAGCTTTATCATGAAGACATACAGAAGAACAGGACACCATGTTTCAAATTACTGTACAAAAAGAGTTTTACATATGTACAGCAGTATTTCTAGTATGGTCCTTTTCTGGGTTGACCTTATTTCTCATCCAGTGTATTTGCACAATGTTGTCTTATGGCAAGAGGCATGCTAAAAGAGTTATGGTTGTGATGGCAGAGGTAGTAGAAGGCATAAACTCAGAAAAGCTCAGAAGAATTGGTTATTGTTATGCTTGCGTTTATTGGTCAGTGCATTGAGTATAGGAGTTGGGTGGTCATGTTGCGGATGTATAGGACATTGGTTAGGCCACTTTTGGAATACTGTGTGCAGTTCTGATCTCCCTCCTATAGAAAGGATGTTGTGAAACTAGAAAAGATTCAGAAAAGGTTTACAAGGATGTTACCAGGGTTAGAGGGTTTGAGCTATAGGGAGAGGCTGAATAGGCTGGGGCTATTTCCCTGGAGGGCCAGAGGCTGATGAGTGACCTTATGCAGGTTTAGAAAATCATGAGGGGCATGGATAGGGTAAATAGATAAGGTCTTTTCCCCAGGGTGGGGGAGTTATAAACCAGAGGGCATAGGTTTAGGGTGAGAGGAGGAAGTTTTAAAGGGATCTAGGGGAGATCTTTTACACGCAGAGGGTGGTGCATGTGTGGAATAAGCTGCCAGAGGAAGTGGTGGAGGCCAGTACAATACAACATTTAAAAGGCATAAGGCTGGATGTATGAATAGGAAGGGCAAAGGTTGGATGTATGACTAGGAAGGGCTTAGAGGAATATGGACCAAATGCCGGCAAATGGGACTAGATTTATATAGGATATCTGGTCGGCATGGATGAGTTAAGACTGAAGGGACTGTTTCCATGCTATGTATCTCTATGACTCTCTGACATTAATTGGTGATTCAGTACCATATACAAAACTGACGGACTATTTTGATGTACATTTAAGCAGGAAAGCATTTGTGGTTTTAGTTGATCTGCCTTCTTTCACTTAACATTATCATCAAAATTGATGAAGCATATAACAAGCTCTAATAGACACCATGATTACGTTAATTCTCTAGGACTTTGAACTGCACTTTCAAATTCCCAACTGCCTATCCTGTGGTCAGTCATTCATCATTCACATCTGCAGCTGTAGTTTAGCGCCAAACATGCCCTCACTTCTACCATTGATAATCTTGCCCCCATGAAAACACTTATTTTCTCCCATCCCACTTGCCCATAGTGCATAAAAATGTTTTCAGAAATGCAGCGCTAGGATCAGGCTCATCAGCCATGTAAGGACGGGCAGGGCCCATGACCGGTGACTGGAATTTCCAAGTTGGACAATCATTAGCAAATGATTGCTACTGTCAAACTACCTGCATCCTTCAAGTCCAAGGTACCAAAGACTTGGTGTATTTGGTGTGCAGCTGGTTTGGTCGGCCAGCACCATGTTTAAGTGATGTACGTCAAGGTAACCCACTACACTGAATTTTATAAAGCAAAGCTAGCTCCCAGCTTTGATTTTCCCCTATCAATTGTCTCGTTAAACCATTTTCTCTACCTCCCTCCAACCTCATCAGAAAGATAGAGGTGAGATATTCCTCTCCCTTTAACTGCTTCCCTTTTCTCTTTATCTAAGAAGCTTTAATTGTAAGAGAGCAGTAACTGAGCCACTATTATTCTCATGTTTCCTTATTCAATATTGCCTTATTTACTTTGGTGAATATTGCTCCAGTTTTTAAAACTCAATATTAATATTAGCTATACATTATCCCATGTATGTAGGACTCTGGAAAGCTACTGATTTCTAGGGCCTTGAAAAGTTGACAATCCACACAGAACCAGAGCAATGTCAACTTTGTGCAAGTCCTTAATATTTATAAGGGTGTGCAGATTTTGGAGTAATGTCAAATTCAAAGACAAAGTGTAGGATTTTAAGTATAGAGACACAACTTTTTTAGTCCCAGAAATTACCAGCATAGTGGTTATCAGAAAACGATGGCAAATGAAGATTGATCAACTCCTGACAGTAACAGGCTAATGAGCAATTAGTGTGGAATTACAAGATGCAACTCAGTAGAACATTTATGTGGGTAAGCTAGATGGGCCAAAGATCTGATGCCAGCAAGGTTACTTTGTTACTATCACTTTGTCCCAAAATGCAGATTGTATACTTACATTTATTTAATTGAATTGCCTCTAATTGAATATTGGAAAGACTGAAGCCGTTGTTTTCACTCCCCATTCAAAACTGTGTTCCCTAGCTACTGATTGGCTTTTGTAACCTAAATTGAATAGATGCTAAATGATGTTAAAGTATAACTTCTGATGCTAAACACAGATATTGGTCTCATTATGTAATGTTAAAGCAGATTGACTCTAATTGGGCAACATAAAACAGGGACTTTGTCAAAGAGGTAGGATGTAAGCAGTATACAAAGCTTTTGATCATTTGATCTATTTGATCCTTTATGCTACAGAATGGGAGTCAGTAAATAGTTAACTTTAAACAGAACGCTCAGAAAAATACAGGTTTGAAATCCTTTTCTGTGAATTTATATTAACATAAAATGTTATACATTACTCTTACGTATTCGGTGCAATCACATTTCATTATGTGTTTGAAAAATTGTGATCAACTTTCCTCTTCACTTTTAGGCTGTGATGGAAGTACAGAACTTACGACCTTCCTACTGGAAGTTTCTACTGAGACTTACACAGGGAAGGTAAGAGCTTCAGTTAATTTCAGTCAGTTGGGGCTGGATATTTGTGGAGTCAGGCAGACTCCGAGGACCTTTAAAAATGGCATTCTAAACTGGATATGGAGGTCTCAGTCTCCATTTATGACAGTACCAATTGTTTATGGTCATAATTCACAGGTAGGAAGCCCAAACTTAGCAATACCATTTAAACTTTTTGCTTGCTGAGTTCAAACTGATCCAATTTTGGTTGTTCCCAGGGCCTTATCCTGCAGTTTGGGGGTCAGATAGTTAATAACATGCCACATCAAAAACTGTTGTGGGAAACAAAATCTTATGGTGTAAAGGGTAGCAGGAGTAGAAAATTGCCTGAGATTGACAAAGATGAACATAAATGGTCTTTTGAGTTGGGATTTATAACCATAGCAATCAAGTTGGTACAATGCAGCACACATCTGTCCACAATTTTATAGAAAAACTTGAATGAAGGGACAGTATATATAATTTTCAGATTTACTGATGAGACAAAGGTAAATCAGACAATAAGTTGTGAAGGTGACATAAAAATACTGCAGAGGGTCTGGATAGGTTAATGGAGTGGGCAGAAATCTGGCAAGTGGAGTACAATGTGGGAAAATGTGAAATAATCCATTTTGGCAGGAAGGATTAAAAAGAAACATATTATCTAAATGGCAAGAGGTTGCAGAGTCTAAGATGCTGAGGGATATGGATGCATGAATTACAAAGTTAGCATCCAAGTAATGGAAAAAGTAATTAGGAAAGCCAATACAATGTTATCTATTACAAATACAAAACTTGAATACAAAAATAGGGAGTTTATACTTCATGTGTACAGGAGACCTCTTTATTTTTCTTTATTTGGTGTTATGGATCAAAATGGGAAAGGGACTGCTTTAAAACAAAGACTGTGGAAAGAGTTCTGCACTTTCGAAAACAAATTACTGGAACACATTGTAGGTTGTCTTTACACTTGGTTTGTTCAAACAGTGGGGTAAGACGTTTGAGACCCAACAACAACGTGGTATGTTATCAGAGCTAGCTTCACCCAGAGACTGTCTTGGTAATGAAAACCTAGCCTTGCATTCTGTGTTTTTAAAAAAATGAATCTTATAGATTTCTATTTTAAAGACATTTGATATAGTCTGACCCCTGTTAATTTGTTCTCTGAAAGTGTCAATATTTCTGATAGAGCATTGGTTTTACAAAATTAAAATAGTATAATTTACAAAAATTTTTTTTTCTAAATTTAGTTTTGTGTTTCCTCTTTAAGCTTCCGATACCCAAAGTCTTCAAAGGTACAGCATCAGTAATGGTAGATTTGCCTGACATTAAGGGCGGTCTAGGTTTATGTTTTCACTTATACAACTTTGGAATACTAGTAGAAAAGCCAGCTGAGAATGTCTGCCTTTGATGTGTTTTGACATACTGCCTGATGTTTTGAAGAATTTGAGCTTAATTCCCTTGAATGTATCAGCTCTAGCAAATTGTTATTCTCCTGATTTCGTAAAATAGTTATAACGTAGAAGGGAGGAAATTTGATCTGCTGAGTCTGTACTGTCCCTCCACAACTATAATCCAGCTAGTCTCATTTCCCTTGCCCTTTCCTTGTAATCCTTCAGTTTTTCTTTGCTTCATATGCTTATTGCGTTCCCTTTTCAAAGCATTGATTGAATCTGCTTTCACCATCATTTCAATCAATCCTTTCCAGATCATGGCCAATCACTGCATAAGAAAGTTTTCCTCAGATCATTTTTAGTACTCAACCCTTTTTGGAACAGTTTCTCCCTTTCTACTCCATCTGGATCTCTCATAATTTTGAATGCCACTATGAAATTTCTCAGCCTGCTGTAAGGAAAACAACTCCAGCTTTTCCCATGTATCCATGGAACTGAATTTGTTTGTCCTTAAAGCTATTCTAATATTATGAACATGAATATTATGAAGCAAGCTGTCCTAGCCCATTGCATATTTCCTAAAATCTGATGCCCAGAACTGTAAAAAGTATACTAGTTGAGGCTAAACCAGTGTCTTAGAGAGATCATAATTTCCTTGCTTCTGCATTCTGTGCTCCTGTTTATAAAGCCCAAGTTTCTATATGTGTGTATGAAAATATATTTGGTATGTTGTTGGCAAAATGCTAGAGTCCATTATGAAGGAAGAAATGGGACATTTAGAAACATTTAACTCGATCAAGAAGGGTCAACATGATTACATGGAAGTGAAATCATGTTTAACACATTTTCCATTTATACCTGTAACAAGCAGAGTTGACAAAGGGGAATTGATAGACGTAGTGTATTCGGATTTCCAGATGGATTTGATAAGGTGCCACACAGAAGGTGATTTCTAGAAGTGATATAGTGGACTATATCCAAATTTGCAGATGACACAAAAAAATAGGTGAGGGGGCATGTTCTGATGTGGACATAGGGAATCTGAAAAATGATATAGGTAGGTTGAGTAAATGGGCAAAACCTTGGCAGATAAAGCTTAGTGTAAGAAAGTATGAGATCATGCACTTTGGTTGGAGGAATCAAAAGGCAGGCTATTAATAAATGGAGAGAGACACCAAAAAATGCAGCACAGAGGTATCTAGTTGGTGTTGTGCATGAAATACAAAAAGCTAGCATACAGGTACAGCACATAATTAAGACAAATAGAAGTTTGGCCTTTATTACTAGGGGGTTCAAGTTTAAAAATAGAAAAGTCTTGTTACAGCTGTACAGGGTGTTGGTGAGTCTGCACCTGGAGTACCATTTGCAGTTTTGGACCCTGTATTTAAGAAATTGGCATGGGAGACAGTTCAAATGGAATTCACAAGGCTAATTCCTAGGATGAAGGCTTTGGCTAATCAAGAATGGCTAAACAAATTAGGCCTTTATTCATGACAGTTTAGAAGAATGAGGGATGATCTTATTGAAACACACAACATTCTGAGAGGGCTTCATAGGGTAAATGAGATTGTTGATTTGCTCGCCGAGCTGGCTTGTTTTTGTTCAGACATTTCGTCACCATGCTAGGTGACATTATCAGTGGAGCCTCCGATGAAGCGATGTTATTCTACTCCACTTGGAATTTATACTGTCTGGTCCGTTAAGGTGAATTATAACACTGCTTCATCGGAGGCTCCACTGATGATGTCACCTAGCATGGTGACAAAACATCTGAACAAAAACCAGCCAGCTCGGCAAGCAAGTCAACAACCTTATTCACAATCCGAGCTACAGATCTTTGCCAATGCTTCATAGGGTAAATATTGAGATGATGCTGATTTTATTTTTTGCAATTTGTTATATTCATTATTCTGAACTCACCATTCATGTTTATCAATATATACTATAGAAGTTGTCTCATAATATTCCACTTTAGAATATAGTGAAAATCTTCACTTCAACTGTTTATTTATTTCCCTTATATTTACATACAAACCTGTGAGGCTTAATAGTGATGGGTTGTCGTTAAACAGTAATGTTAAACAGCGGTAGCAACCAAGGAAATAGTTGTTCTGAACCAGTGTAGTTCATATAATAGTAAATATTCGATTGGAACCATCAATAACTATACATGAGTCTCTCTCGATTTAACAATAGCCTGACCACTGGCTGTTGCCATGGAGCAGAATAAGATTCTGAACCTCTAGCAATGGAAGCACTTTTGATACAGGTGAATAAACAAGGTTAGAAGAAAGTTGTAAAATTAATTCTACAAAATTTTGCTGATTATAGAGATTCCCTTAAACTTCCAGATTTAGTTTCCATACTAGCTTTTAGCAACTCATGAACGAAGACACCTCGGTCCTTTTGGAAATCAACACTCGCCAGCCTTTCACCATTTAGGAAATATTCTGTCTTTTTGTAATCTTCCAAAATGAATAAAGTTGCACTTATTCCCATTACCTTCAGTCTGCTAGTTCTTGCCCAATCATTTAGCTTGACCATGCTGTCCTGAAGTTTCCTTGTATTCCCCTCACAACTTGCATTCCCACCCAGTTTGGAAACATAAATTAATATAGAAGAATCACCATTGGTCCCCACATCCAAGTCATTTGTATAAATTGTGAATAGTTGCAGACCTAACAGTAGACCTAATTTGCAGTACCCTACAAGTAGCAACCTGTCATCCTGAGAATGATCTGTTTATTCCTAGTTTCTGCTTTGTTTGTTAGCAAACTTTTAATGCATTCTAGCATATTACCCCCAGTCACAATTTTGTGTTCCATCTCCTGTTTGGTACCTTACCAAAAGCTTTTGAATTCCAGATACACTGGTTCTCATTTATCTACGCTGCAAATAACATCCTTAAGAAAATCTGTAGCAGGTTTATCAAACATGATTTCCCTTTCATAAATCCATGTTGCCTCTGAACAATTCAACCATTATTTTATAAGTGTTTAGTAATCATGTAGTTCTCCATTTCCCCTTTTGTTCCCCTTTTAAATAGTAGGGTTATATTTTTATTTTCCAGTCTTCAGGAACATTTCCAGAATCTATAGAATTTTGCAAGATAATCACCAATGCATACAGTGCTCCTTTAGCACTCTGGAATTTAGCTCATCAGGTCCAAGGGATTTGTCAACTTTTAATCCATTAATTTTTTGAATTTTTTTTCAGTTCTTCAGTTTAACTTCAACTTCCTTATCTTTATTTGATGATTTTTGCTTTTTTAAACCTGTAGCTTTGTGATCTTGTTACCATTCAGTCAGGAAAATTCCCAGGATATACTTCCCTGTAATATCTCAGTAGCCTGATTTTCCACTGGCTTTTCAACTACAGCAGGCATCACTGTCACTTGTGATCAACTATATGAATATTGAGGATAAACTGTATTCCTGGAACTGAGTATTTCTCTGTTACTCCTATCACCATTTCCCACTGGACTCTCCAACCTTGCCTTATACAATGGAACACTACACTTCTCAGCATGAATTACACCCTCTGAACTACATTCACTCTACACTCATTGGACCCAAAATGTTAACTCTGTTTCTTCCTCCACAGATGCTGCCAGACC